GGGACACCCAGAGATATTTGTCCAGTACTTTGGAAACAGACTCTCAACTGTCAACATGTTACTACAGTAAAAGTTTTATTCATAGATAAAAAGCATGTATATAATGTAAAAAGGAAAAAGGACACAGCCCTAAGGACAGGCTGTTGATGTTTTAAAGTACAGGAGGATGGTGTTTGTTAAACTACTGAAAAATGAATGTGAATTTTCTAACTGTTGAAGTTATTGATAAGCTATAGTATTTAAGGACATGTTGTCTTATGTGGTTTCATGAGTTTCTGTGGTGCAGGACACTAACATGAAATGTCAGGTCAATGTGAAACTGTGGCTTTTGACGAAATGAACTATTTGTTCCTGAATTTTTGTTGTTCTTTGTTTGGAATGTAATTTTTTATCCCTTAAAAACTAAACAGGTTTTTAATGTAACTCAGTATCATTGGCAAATTAGGCCCATTCTACATGAACTAAAAACGTGACATTGTTTATGGGAAGCGTGCTGCCAGAGTTCACATGTTATTAATAAGGTTAAAAACGCCACTATTAGTTGAGGTAAAATTAAGTCATAGATTGGGGATTATCTGAGTCAGGAACCAATCAAGTGGCACGATGTTGAACGGCAGAAACAGGGCGTGTACTTTTTCACCGTTGACATCTAAAACGCGGCCTATTGGTTCATTGTTTTACCTGACACGGGGCTGGTCCAATCACATTTGTAAATCACTCCCCACTGCCCATTTGAGAAGAGGGCAGAACGCACGTGTTGTCAAATAAGCTAATTGTGGATATAAAGTTGCTCGCAAATACAACCCTGTGTGTTTCTTAGAAAAAGAAAATGAACAGAAATGTGTCAAAATCTCTGATAGCACCTGCGCCTGATGACCGAGGCTACGACTGCTAACCAACGGTAAGAGAACCGACGAAAACCTACCGGTTTAAATTCACGATATGCTATAAAAATTATAACCCTTACCGATAGTTAGTGGTAAACAAACTAACTGTTTGTAGAGTTGTGATATTTACCGATAGTTAGTGGCAAACTAACTGTTTGTAGAGTTGTGATAACACCAATAAAACTAGTTATTTACAATAATTTATTTAATACTAATTAGTCTGGGATCTATTACGTGATTTATCATCTTGACGTTGGCTTGTAAGACGCGTCTGCTTTCCAAATTAGTGAGAAAAAGACGGGTGGAGACTGCTCCAAACTAGTGAGAAAAAGACGGGTGGAGACTGCTAAAATGTTTCTGTCACGCTGTGCTCCTGTTGTCTGGCAAAACAAACGCTCGCTGGGTTTTGATTTGCGTTTTACGTCCCGCTTTCTAAGCAACAGTCCTCTGATTGGCTCTCGGCCTTTGTGATCCTCCTGTTTACAAGACGATGTCAGGCGTTGATTGGCCTTCGTCCGTGTCATATATCTTTTGCCTCGTTTTTATGACTTGAAACTGCAGAAGTGAATTTTGTCAGCCCCATTTCGTCCCAGGTGACTTGTTATATTGTTTTGGTTTAATTTCGGCCTTAGAAAGGAAGGCTATGAACCAGGTATGTGGCGGACAAAAAAAGCGACAAGTGGATGGAAAGTGGAATTACAGCATACAATATGAGGGGTGTGAGTTATAGTGGCAATGCTTTAAATATTTAAATCAGATTCATCTTAATTAATTTCGATAGCCCGAATTGTTAGTGTAATATTGACAGAAAATGTTCAAATAATTTACTAAAGTACATCGTTTTATTTGTATTTAGTGTAGTGTTTAGTTTCTATACCAACATTTTGTAGGCATTTGTACAGACATTACTAATTCAAAAAAGTGTGTAATCCTGCCCCCTTCTGGAAACAATTGAAAATGATCTAGGATGGTTCTAAACAGTGGTAAAGTGAGTAATGAAGAGGAAACAACACACATTGTTTGACTGATTTCCACTTTTATTGAAATGAACTAATTTCTTCAGTTACTTAAAAAAATTTATTTCCACATTTTCACACTGGTGGATCACAAAGCCAAAAATGAAGTGAATCAGTGATTGAATTAAAACATTTCTTTACAGTATGTAGACCAGTCTTTAAAAAATAAAAACTGTCAACAAAATCAAGACCACAGGAACAGTCAGATGTACACAGTGTCTGTGTGTTTGTTGTCTTCTGTACACAGATGAGAGATGTAGAAAATCTATTTAGAACACGCAGAGACATGGACAAGTGTGTTGAACTCGTTTATGGCTGGCGGTAGATGAGGTTACATTCTCCTCAGGTTCACCATGGCTTCTCTCTGGGTTTTATCGAATCCTCTTCTGTTGACGTGCTCTGTAGATGTCGTGTATGGGCGGAGCCACAGCTCCTTTGTCGTCCTCCTCGTCTGAATCTGCGTTTGGCCTCTTGAGGGACTTGGCAACGGTATGGTTCTCCATGGATCCATTTCCTTCTCCAGCTGCGTCAGGCTGTCTGCCAGTGATCAGTTCCACAGCAGCGTCCACGGCTGCAAAAATAAAGAAGACTTAGTCACATGACCTGTTAGCACAAACAAATGACCATCTGAAAGACGTCCAGATCTTCAGTCCAAAAGTCCAAAGATAAGTAAACAAATTTTCTTTTGATAAAGTCTGGAAAAGTTAAAAAAAAATACACTTTTTTCAGTTAAGTAATAATTACAAAGCTAATTTTTTAAAATGTTTTTTGTAATAGTCTATCATAAAAACAATATCATTATTACTTTACAATTAAGTTTATTTTTATCATTATTACTTTATTATTACTTTACTCTAATTATTACTTTACAATTAAGTTTATTTTTTCTGCATTATAATACATTTTCACATAAAATTGTAATTATTGGTATTCTACAAATAAAAAAATTTTATTGTTATCTGAATAATAAATATATAATGTGTTTAATCTCTTCTCCGCAGTACTCTGACGTAAGACTAGGGGCAGACTGCTTGGTAAAAGTCTGATTTAGAGGAGTCAGGCAAACAAGATAATGAGCGATAGGAAGAAGTGACTTACTCTCAGGAAGTGTGCATCTCCTAAAAGACTCCATCAGCTCATCCACTTGGACAAAAGGCCCCTGCAAAAAACACGGTGAGTTTAAGTTAAAACTTTTCACTCAGTACTGGTTATTCACAACTGAGAGCTAGCATTGATGCTACGATCACATATGTTCGTAATAATGTTTAATTAGTTCTAATGGTCCAAATAAAATGGCCCAACAAAAACAACACCATCACAGTTTTGGGCTACTTCCAGCTCTGATCCATGACTAGATGTCAATAGCAATATTTTTTTTGCATTGAACAGTGGACACTGATGTGGTCCTCTAATGACTTCAGCTTATATAGATACATTATAAAGCTACTTACAGTGAAGCACATGGGTGGAGGGAGCAGCTTCATTAGAACAACAGCAGCTGGTGGGACTGGGAAAACTCCACCTGGGACCGGGTGTAAACCTGGAGCTGTGGGGGGGCACAGGAGACCACATTCATACTTTTCAAACTTAAAAAAACAAAACAATGATGTTTTGTTGTTAGCAAGATAATGCTAACACCACACTGAGTTCAGTCAGGGGTGTGAGTAGTTGCTTACGGGCGAGGTGTCGTGGCTGGAACGGGATCATCTGATTAGTGTCGGGTTTGGGGTATTCTGGTTTACGGTCAGTTTCGTCTTTCAATGCAGGTGTGGACGGCGTCACCACTGTCTCTGGGAGCAGAGCTGCTAGTTTGGAACGAGACACATCCTGCAAACACGGAGAGAAAAATCGGTCCAAAAAAATTGTTTTTTAACAAATTTAAAAAAGGCAGAGGTCCCTGTACTTCTTCTGTAGCACCCCCTTTTTGTAGATAGAAATATTGCTTTAAAACCTAATTTAAATACTGTTCAAACACTGTGTCGCCCCTGCAACAGCTCTGTGACCCCTACCTTGACAACCACTATCTAAGTGTATTATGTATTTTCTACAAACAGTATAAAAACTCACCTTGTATCCAAGGGCCTTGAGTTCACTGGCAGAGCAGGGGTACAGATCCATGAATTTGTACCGATCCACAAGCAGCGCGGTTTCTTTGCCCTCGTACTCATCCTTAAAGGCAGCGAAACGCCTGCGCTCTACCTTCAGGATACTAGCTAAATCTCCTATGTTGCTCTCAAAAGCCAGGAACCTGGCCCAGATCTCTCTGAGAAGAAGATGCCAAAGAGAGGATTCCAAAATGAGCAAACGCCATTCTAAATGTGATGGAAACCGTAAACAGTACACGTGTGTCCTTACCCCGACTTTTCTGGCGACAGGCTTCCTGATGTGAGGACACGTTCAAACAGAACCCTAGTGTTGTTGTCCTCTGGAGGGAGAAGTCAAAGTTTCAATATTAGGAAATTTTCATTAATCACTAAAAGAACAAAAATTTGATTTTTTTTTTTTTGCACAAATGTTACCATTAAGATGCGAGAGGTAATCGATGTAGGCCAGAATGTACTCTGGGATGTCACCGTATTTTTTCAGACCCAGCTCAAAGATCTTGAAGGCCACAGATTTATCCTGTGGGGATAAAAAACTTGTCAGAGAGAGCCATATGGTGTTTGTATTAAAATTAATCAACTGACATTTGTTCACATATTGTAATGTTTTATTAAACGGCACCACATGTTGGTTCAACTCTGCCCTTTAAATTTGCCTTATAGATTGAATTAGATACATGTCAGAAAACAGTCAGCACTGTTGTGGTACAAACAAAAGTTCCTGCTCCTCTGCTGTGGAATCACAGCCCATCACCATCACAGGTGTACTCACCTTACTGCAGTAGTATTCCATCAGCGCTGCCGTCACGTACACATGGTGACGCGTGCGTAGATCCTCCCGGGCCTTTTTGAAGATGGTGCGACCTGACTTGATGCCCTCTGCCCTCCTGGCGAACTTCATGTACTGGATGTAGACCAGTGTTGGGTCAATGTCCTCGATGGCCAACAGCTTATTGTAAATGCTGTGGACTTTCTCGTATTTCATGCGACTCTGTGACGAGAGCGGGGGGAAAAAACACACACAGGTCATCGGCTAAGATCCAATAGAGGCCGAGCAGGAAGTAGATATCAGAAAGGAAACTCACTTCTTCGTAATCGGCAAACGAAAAGTACAGAAGCATGTTCTTCTTCAGGAGAGTTCCGATGGCACGTTCGTAGATGTTTGCTGCTTCATCGCTGAACAGCTTGGAATTGTTCATGTCCTGAGATTTAAACATTTATATTCATCAATAACCTGTTCTCACAAGATAACTGTGTTCTTTAACAAATAACAATTTAACTTTAGTTCATTTATTTTTTAATTACTTACTCCTTTCTCTGCCAGTAGTTTACTGGACTGTTCCAGATACTGTGCTGCCTCGTACCAGATGTCAGGATGGTGTCCAAGTACAAGTAGACACTGCTCATAGGCAAACATTACTGTAACACACACAGGTACAACGACAACTAGTTAGAACATCTACATTCACCTTGTCTTTATTTTAACACAAACAATCGACTTATGATGAGGTAGGAACTATGACGTCAACAGTAGCTTATTCACGTTTTCCATTGATACATTTATTTACGCATGTATTCTGCACAAGGTCGCCAGGGGGAGCCGCAGCGAATCCCTCTGTACTGTGTGACCTCAGGGAAACCTTTTTTCTGTCATACATAATCATAAGTAAGAAGAATCTGCACCCTCTAGCGGGTGCTTTTATGCACTACAACCCATTCATAGATATATTTCCAACCACTCTTATTCTGTCCAGGGGTCACCAGGGGGAGCAGCAGCCAATCCCAGTGGACTTTTCCCATCAGTGTCCCTCCCCATCACAGCTGACTGTAAGTATTCACCTCTCTTTGTGATCAGTGTTTGGTCTTCTGTGCGCAGTGGGTTGCTCTTCTCCCACTGGATGTACTTCTTCCACATGTCCACCTGCTGGGCCTCCTGGGGGGAGTTCTGTGGTGGTACCGACGGGGCGTTCCGGTCCAAACCCTTCATCACAGTCTCATACTCCTGTACACACATAAAACACCAGTGAGGTTCAGGTTTGAGGGGTCAGTGCTGAGTCATGACACACGGTCAGTCAGGTGGTCTCACTTTAGCGACTCTCCTGGCGTTCATGTAGTCTCTGCTGCGGTCCTCGATCATCTTTTTGGCCAAGTGTATGTTGATGCCCTGTACATGAACACACAGAGGGGTCAGACCACATGTTCCAGCACAGCTCCACCAAAGGTCTGTGTGGTCATTAGTCTCTTCACCTCTTCATATTTGCTATAATCTCGCCACAGCTGCTCGATGTTAATCATGGGGTTCACGCAGCCCCTCTGGTAGACCCTCCTTACTGCAGTTATCCTCTGATTCTCTGCGTATGAGCCCACGGCTTCACTGATGACATCACAAAGACAAAGTTTAATTAACGCGGCTCGTGCTTCTCATTGACATAATCATCGCAACATTATGGCGTAAACACTTACACTCCTTTGAGGAAGTTGATGTAGTCCACCCAGATCTGAGGAAGGAAGTCCAAATTATAGGCGAATGGATTTTAAATTAAATGTTTATCATGCAAAAAAGGAAGTATGAATCAGATCTTTGTACCTGATAAGACATTATTTCCATTCCAATTTTATCCAGTGCAAAGTCATAGGCTTGAGCCATCTTTTCTCTGCAGGAAGAGAAACCAGTTAAATAAAGTAAACAAAAACAGATCAATGATACTGTACAAGAAGGTTTCCTTACTTATAACTGGGCAGCTTTCCTTTGGTCTCTCGGACATAGGCCAGGTAGCATTTCCACAGGTCGATGTGTAATACTTTCATTAGGCACCTCTGAAACAACTGTATGGGCAGAAAATCACAATTACTGAAAAGAGTTTTAATTAAATTTTTGTTACTGTTGCTCAAGCTGACGAATGAAGAGACTGAAAATAAATAGGATCGAAAACCTGTAAAAGTGGCTGCTCAAGCTGGAGAATGAAGAGACTGTTTGAAAAACAAATAGGATCGAAAACCTGTAAAAGTGGTTTAAATATAATTAATTAAACTGAGAAGTTTTTTTTTAAAATTATACCAAGTTTCATTTTAGTTTTTTTTTTTAAATTATACCAAGTTTCATTTTTACAAACAAAACTAACAAAAAGTAAGAAAAAAAAAGGACAATCAATTATTTCTCTTGCACAGTTAGTAAACATTGGGTAACTGTAATTACTTTTAATTACAGTTCTGCAGCTCAAATTTAAAGACTTATTATAATAGTGAAGCTCAATGGAAAACACATGACATCAAACATTTAACTGGCATGAGTGGGCCGCAGTAAGAACTTACCTTTTCTACCTTGTCATAATTTTTAGCCTTGATCTGTAAATAAAGTGTAAATGCAACGTTAATTCAAAGGTCCTCTGCTCTTGTTCTGGAGCATAAAGAATCATGCGTACATGCAAATTAGACCATTTATACACAAACACACGCTTACACACAATCAACAAAGTGAAGTTCACACAAAGAAGACAAATTAATTTGAAAGAACAAAGGGGTTTATTTTCTTTGCAGAAGCCACATGGTCCACATGACTGTACATGTAATCAGACTGTTGACAACTGCTGGAAAAAAACAAGGAAAGGTTCCTGTCACTGTTTCCCAGTGGGTTGTGTTGTAGGGACAATTGGTGGCCAAAACTTTAGCAACATTTTAACAGGGTTGAGATGTTGGAGTCTATTTACTCTGGGTCTTTGATTTAACAATGACCTATGTCAATGTAGTAAAGTATTGTGTGGTGGTGAGGAATAAACTAGTGACACAGGAATCAGTACTTGAAATAACAGGTGAGATAACTACAGGTTATCAGGAGTTATTCTGGGCCCCAGTTAGTGTTGTACAGGTAAATAAAATCATTTAAAATATTTCTGAAACTATTAGAGAAAACCTAAAATCCCTACTCTAAAATAGATTAAAAAAAACTCAACATGAAGTGAATGCAGATATTCATTACTAAAAAGCTTGGACTAAAGTTCTTTTTCAGGAATAATGACATGACATATTCACTGCTAACTAAAGAGACAAAACCAGAAAAAAGGCTCAGCTAGTCAACACTTTACAGTTATTATATATTTAATGCATTAATGTTACTTTAAATACATTAAATGGCATTGATGTGCAAACTCAACAACAGTGGAACCACAAAATAAAAATATTAATTTATTTATAGGATTCAATAGCGTAAACGTTATTGAATGGAGATTTTAAGTAAAAACTGTCATCTTTTTACACAGGTTTAAGTTAGGTTACACCAGCGCCCCCACGTCAAAATATTCACAGCTTCATCTTCAAATTCTAAATAGAATGTATTTAAATAAACTAACTCTAAACTAAGAAAATAAAATCACCAATCAATGTAATTTTCCCACTCATTTGAATTACTGCCCCTCTTCCTACAGTAGCTCAGCACATGGGGAGGCCCACCCCCCCACTCTGGGAACAACAGGGTTATAAGATCAATCAAAAACAATTTAAAGCTAGAGTTGTGATCATGACATTGTACAAAGTGGGCTTTCCCTTCTTAAAAATAAAATTTGACTTTTTCTGACAGTCACTTCAATTTAAAGTACTGCAGTCAATTTGCCTCAGATTTACATGTGAACAAACATCCTGAGAAAAAAAACATTGGACCAACGTCCTACTTTTGAAAGAAAAACACAGAAGTAAGAGTAAAATGTCCATCCACATACTTACCAGTAAAAACCAAATATAAATAATATATAATCAATATGCCATTCTGGTCCTAGGTTTTCCTGAACAGTTAAATTTTGTGTAAAAAGAGTTTACAATTTAATAACAGATATCCAACTTTACATTATTTAATGTCCAGAACTATAGTTTACAATTTAATAACAGATATTTCTAACTTTACATTATTTAATGTCCAGAACTGTAAAGGACGGTCATTTATGTACACGACTTAAAGTTGTGTGATTATGTAACCATGGACAAAGTTCCAGGAACTTTTCTGCATGCTAAGGGTTTTATAACAAAAACATTGAATTCTGAGCGCCTTGGGTCTGAGCACAAATCTGTGACTTAAATTTGAAGCTTTGGGAATTATGCAACAACTAAAGTTTAGTATTTTAGATTCACTTGTGGTTAAAGAAATACATGTAGACTCAGCCCTGACCTCCAGATACATAAAAAAAAAAAAAGACCGAACAAACCCAAAACCAAAACAAAGGCTGTTAAAGCTCACAACGCAGGAGATAGCAAGTTGTAAAATGTCTAGTCAAGAAAGAGATTTTCTTGTCAAGAAGTTGAAAGATATTAGACACAGAACAGACCAAAGCAGTTGCAGCAGATAACTCAAAGATGTTGAATTCCAATAAGAAAGCAACAAAGAAATGGGTCTAAAGCGTAGGTGCACGTTCCTTGGCGGGGGCAGAGCCAATCAGGGGATGCATGAAATTAGCATAAAGCGAGGTGGGACGGGATGTTGATGAATTTGTTTTTCAGTGAAAAAGACTGGTCTTAGCCAACGCCATTTTGATGCCCCATCGTAATGTTCCATTCTGAAGGGTTACAGCATCTTCCCTTCCTGCAGATGGTGTCCAAGACCACTGCCAATGTGGCCAATGACAAGAGCAGCTCTGGTTGTTGGATATCAGTTTTGTGTCACTGGTTCTTAAATAACATTTTTCAATTTAGTTTTCTAACTACAAAAGACAAACGGTATTTATAGTGGCCGTTTTCATCTATTTTAAGGATAAGTGCTTGTGTGTTAGTGTGTGTCTGGATGGGTGGAGCAATAATGTTAAACCCCTCATCTAATGGACCAAGAATGACTGCCCAGACTGTGGCAGTCATCTGGAGAATGGCCCACAGAAGTCCCACAGTGTCAACAAACACAGACATCAGAGAGCTTTAGTTTCAGACCAAGAAAAACAGATCAGATCTTCTGAAGAAACACAGAACAGTAGCCTGTCATCATCTCTGATGTTTACTCTGGTAGGGAGAAAATGGGGAAACGCTATGACTGCGACTACGACAGAGGATGGAACCATCCAAGAGAACAGTCAAGAAGTCTGCAGCTGAGTTGGACTGGGTCCGAGTCAGACGTTTGCCCTCCGACAGGTTGACAGCCTGGCACAGTCCCAAAGATTTTGGTGAGTACACCACTTACTGACATGCCTCAGTGAAATACGAAAAGTGTGGCGCGAACTGAAGAGCAGTAGTTATGGAAAAATAATAGATTTACAAAAGAGTTTCACCTCAGGGGACCTGTCCAAAACTGAGTCAACTACATCAAACTACTGTAGACTGTTATGTTGCTAAATAGTTCACTAATGACTAGAAGGAACTTGTTTTTAACCCTAAAATTGTCTTCAGCTAATTTGTTCAGAAATCTTATGTGGAAAAAAAATCATTGCTTCTGGGAATACAAAAAAACAAACAAACCTGTAAACAACCTGTATTTAATTATTTTCTTAGGTTGAAAGGCACTTCAACAGGCATCATATTTACTGATGCTCTATCACTGGTAAACACTCAATTTACTTTGTTCTAAGAAAACGTTAGTGTTAAAAAATATATTTTGGTCCATCAGTAAATTATTTATCTAATTAATGTATGTATTATCTTGTCTCTCGCTATCTATAGTCCTTCATCACTTGGCTTCACTGTCACGCCTGCTCGGTTAGTATTGTTTTTGTCAGCACTGAGGTTATCAGTGAAACGTGTGCAGTCAGCACCACCTACTGGCTAAAAGTAGTAACTCAGCCGTTTGTGTGTTTTTTTGTATAACTTACACGTCACTTAGGGAGTCTCGCGCAAAAAAAGAAAAACGGAAGAACAGAGCAGCAGCGACCTGTTCCATAACAAGTCGCAAAGAGTTTAATTTAATGCTTGTGCAAATGTCAGTGTGGAGATCACAAGAATAATGTTGGACTGGATTGTTCACTTGCAACCGGAAGATTGGGTTTGAGGATAAAACAAAAGAAAGTAAAGAAATCCAATAATTAACCGACTGCAAAAAGGCAAAGCTTGTCGGTGGCACTGAGGACAAAGAATCACTGGTTGTATATTTACCAGAGGAGGGGCAAAGGGCATGTCTGAGGGGTAAAAAAAAAAAACCTTCGTGTAATTACCAGAAAGAAATGACACAGGAGGCAATAAAATGACACAACAAGTGAATAAAAGGCTAATGCACTCCAATACCATTTAAATTGTTTTAATACTGTTGCAGACCAAACATGCAACAAATTCACTTCACCCCATTTAAAATACGGCGCAGAGAAAACCTTTTTATGTTTTTTGTTTTATCTAAAAATCTGGAAACATAAAAAAGGAACTTCCTGGATAAATAAAAACGTTAGAGCTAATTTCCCCTTTGTGTGTATTTAAAGCACAATTCTTGGTGAGTCTGACTGGGGCCTGGAAATTCAAGTTTCAAACATGCTTAAAAATTAGATTTGCTTTAGATTTGTAAGATGTTTTAAAAGTTAATGGTTACCAACTCAGGAAGACAGGCCCAGTGATTCGAACCAAGAATAGTGACACCAAACTTCACTGAAGTAAGAGACAGTGTATTTGTGTGAATATCACAGTGTTGATCATGTTAGAAAAATAATCTCAGCCATGCACACCAAAGACAAAAAATGATTAACCTCTGCTTCAATGAATAGTTTCCAGAATCTGCCAGAACTTGGGAACTGCGTGACAAGTCGCTCATATGTCTTCCGTGCCTTATCTATGGGCTGGTTCTAAAGAAGGAGAATTAATTTACATGGCAAACTATTTAGAAACATAAAAAAGGCAAAATGCATAGGTTGGGAAGAAATAGGACGTTAAGTATAGAATGACAGTACACCTACACTGGCCCCCACCCCTTATGCCCAGTTTAAATAACCCCAGGAAGGCAGCTCTGTGTCACTAAACCTGTGCTTCTCGAATCAGAATGCTCCATGCGTCAAGGTCGTACGGGTTTTCTTCCAACTTCTTTTCTGCCTTCTTCACTTTCTCCGGGATATACTCTGCTGCCTGCAATTGCACAACCACAGACACACACACACAGACACACACAAAACAAATTGTAACATCTTTAAGCTTTAAGTAAAAGAAATGTAGATTCAGACTTCATTTTATAAACTTGCTTTAATGTGTAACCCTTACATCATTTCACCTTAGAAAAAGCAAGATAATTTCCCAAAAACTCAAAATACCATTGTCAATGAATAGAGATTGCAAATGTGTCATTAGGATGGCGTGAATCTAAAATGCATCTTGGGAGTTTGCAGTGCGCAACGAGGAGGCTCCAGTTTCAACTAGCTTAGGTGACGATACACTGCGATTTTTCATGATCAATGAGGGAATTTTTAAAAAGGAGGAGATCTGCTCTGATTTTCTGGCATCCAAGAATGATTCAGCACTAGTTTCGGACATTGCGAAAAGGCAAAGAATGACAACAACAATGACAATAAGACCAAACATCACGTATTATTGTAATGATTTTTCTTGGCAGAAATTGAATGCCTTTTACTCGTATGTGCAAGTAAAATTCACTAAGGTTTAGATTCTAAATCTTTATTTGTTAAAAAGAAAAAGTTATTAATAATTCAGTTGCCAACACAAAGCATGCTGTGGTTTCAAAAACAAAGTCCTTCAGTCATAACAACAAACAAATACAAAGAAATTTGAGTAGAACACAGGTAAATAACTAAATAAATATATAAAACCCATAGAAAATATTCTCTTTAAAATCCTAAAGTCCTGCACCGACCCCCGGTTGCTGAAGACACTCACACTTTTTTTAAATGTATGAGTGCTCAAATTTGACAGAATGTTCTCATCAGCTGACCAGTTCCCTTGGTCGTATAGGTCCACACCTTTGGTTAAGTTAGTCTGTTTAAAGTAGCTTCGGCGTTGAGCTTGTCATTGTCTGTATAGACTCTTTAGCCCCGTCCGTTGCTTCTTGACTCCTTATCATTGTTCTTCGTCTAGTTGCTTAATTCACTAGTGTTCGTATGCCAAACATGCTAGGCTTTGATATCGTGCCAGTTAGTCCTATGATGCTTTACGCGTTTATTACATATTGTGCCTTGTTGGTCAGGTACTATAACGAGTCCCATTTTCCTCGGATGTTTAAACTCTTGTGTGCTGAATAATAAATTGTAGCAGGTAGTAGACTAAATGTTTGTAAGTTATTGAAGTCGCTTGAGGTATTTCTGCACATTTTCTTTGTAAAACTCCTTTAGATGACTTCAATAACTCAGACCCTAGTTCTTCCCCAGTTTTGAGGCATGTTTGTGATGCTTGTTGTCAGAAAAAGACGAAACAGCGGCAAAAACTGACAGAAGGCTTTTGGTTTTATGAAACACGTTCATACTAATTTCCTACTGTTTTTTTTTAATGGATTGAAACATCCCCATGGCAATGCTTTCCAATTTGAGCATCACCATGGGGACAATGTTCCTGGTGTGTGTGTCTCCAAGCATAGACATTTTGTTTGAACTAATCAAACAGAGCTCTCTGCAGCAAAAGTCTAAAACCTTTTGATGTACAACAATGGAAGTGCAGTTTACTCACATGCCAGGATTCAATTACTCATTTCACACATCAACTTTTCACTGTGGTTGAAAACCAATTCACTTAATTTTTTTAAAAATTCAATTCTGCTTCCTTTTAACTTGTTCCATCATTTCCAAGATGTTTTAAGAAGTTTGAAGCCCTCAGTTGAGACGCACATGGCAAGCACACTTGAAAGATAAAACTACGTTTAAACTTCAACAAATCAAAGTTTTGTACTCATGGTCAATGGACGCACCAGAACTTTGGAGGGGACTAATACTTTGACATTGGCATTTTGATTTTTTTTGTACAATATTTTGTTTTTTCACAAAGTAAAATAATGGCATATGCGATGAAATTCTGATTACGAATGCAGTGTGAATATTGCTTTCAATGTATTAAAACAGTTACGGGCTGTAAATATCTTGGTTTATTTTCCGCTCACTTTAAGTTAGCTCACAACAATAAACCGCGACAATGCTACATGCAGGCCAATGTGGCGTACATGCTAACAGTGTGAATCATGGAGGAAATATACATTTTAACTACAGATTTCTGCTAATATAACACCAAAATTATGTTAAAGATCTGATTGCAACAATACGCGATTTATTTTTTGGCAAAACATTGCGTTAAGCTCGAGTCAGACTGCGCTAGGTAAGAAGTGCATGTAAATACCTGGTCGGCGGCTGCTTCGGTAGACATGGCTGGAAGAGTAATCTAGGTTAGAAATGTTACACCAAATGTGAACACGATTAAGAATGAACGTGGTGTCAGGGTTTTAAAACGTTCAGGTAATCGGCATAACTTCCAATAGGGTGGAACACTCTGAGCCCCCTACATCCACTAGCTTTTCTCTCGATGGCTGGCCGATTCTTCAAAATGGCGAGAATCCTGGTTTCCGCTCTGTAAATTTCGAAATAAACTTCCTGTCCCAGTCTTTCAAAATAAAAGTAAACCCACTTGTTAATTAATGTTTACATTTATGTTTTTTGGGCAATTTGCTTAGGCAGATTCTCTACATGAAAGTGGAATTTTGATTTTACATTAAAGGATCAAAATGGTTAAAGTTAGCTGAAAGGGCATCCTCCCACTACTTACATGTATTGAACTTGAATGCCTTAATTTTTGCGATCACTTTCAATTAAACTGGTAAGTGTTTATTATTAAGCATTTGTGACATTATTTATCATGTAGCAGGTATAAACAAAAATGTGTTATCTTGTGTATAATCCCAGTAATACCAAATAGTATTCATATAAATACAAGAACTAAGAAGGCCAACATGTTGACATGTATTTAAAAGATACTTTTATGTTCAAAGTGAGAGGATGTGTCCACAAATGGGAATCCTATGAAACACGTTTTTACAAATGCTAATGACCACTTGTGCCATTACAAGTGTTAAGCAACGTGTGTGAACCTAGATTCCCAGTCTTTGGGGTCATTTCCTACTAGTGGTAAACTGGATCTGTTTGAATTTCTTAGATATTTTTCTTTCAGCAATGGAGGTGAAATGGGAGTCCAGTGTCCATCATCTTTATTTTCTGGGCTTGGTTGTCATGTTTTTATCATACTTATAATAAAAAATTCTAAAGAAGAGTAGTGAATATGGATACGTTTTGGTTAGGATTATTCGGTTTAGGTGATTATTGGGCAAACATGGATGTTCTGGTTTAGGACAATATGTGACTCTTTAAAGTGGTAACATGTCTATGAAGATTCTCAGTCATCCAGGTCATGATCAAGGTTCAAAGGTTCTGTTAGTCAACTGAACGTGAATTTTCTAAAATAAGACGTTTCACCTCTCATCCAAGAGGCTTCTTCAATTCTTAATTTTTTTTTTTTTTCAAAATTGTGACTTTTTTTCTCAGAGTAACAGTAGCTATAAAGGTTATATTGTACTGCATAATGTCGGTCGCAATGTTGGCCAACAGGGGGAGACAAGTTATTAAATGTTCCACGCGAGAGCCCGCGCTGATCAACGGCTTAATCCAGACCAGAGCAACAAATCACAGAGTGAGCAAAGTTCCTTTCGCATGTGTAACCTTAAAAAAAACAAACTACTGTGTGTAGCTCTGCTCTTCTGCTGTCACCCCAGCTGTGTTTACTCAAAATGTAGAAGCTTACACAAAAGGGTGTTTACACCTGCTTTCCAGCTGACTAGGTCTGGCCGTTTGTTGTGTGTAACTGGGGTGGGGTACTGCAAAAGACAGGGGAAGACAAAGGCTTTTTGGTGGATTAAGTTACTGCAGGTCTTTTCTTACAATAGCAGCTTATCAGCAGCTTTTTTTTTTTTTGCCAGATGGCTGCTTAGAAAAGGAGGCTGGAGCAGTAATTATCTTAACAACAGTGACACTTGGCCTATATAAATGGAGACTGTTAAATATATATGTTAAAGTAGTGGCTGTTTAATAATGCAGTTTCAAAACTTTTTAATGATTTTTAATTGTGTGTTCTAATGACACTGTAACCACTGCAAAGCTATAATGGGGTTGAACCTAAGCAACTGAAGCAACATTGTATCATTGAAAATACATTTTCTATCCTATTCTATAAACATTCTACTGTTTTATTATTAATAAAAAATAATATAAATATCTGATATTAGTTTTCGAACTTCCCTGCTCACTTCTTTTAACATAAGCCAGTACTTGTGTGATGTAATGTATTTTTTTCCCTCTGGCTGTTACTACACCTGGTCTGAGTTGTGAATCGCTCGGTGTCTCTGCTGCTCGCTCATCGATTGCTCTGGTCGGGCCGATGCCGTCAGTTCACAAACATTCGTTTGCAGTTGCTGGAGAAAAGGGACATGTTAGAAGCAGACTGGGCCGAACAGCAGCAGCACGTCTAGACGAGAGATACGGACACCCTCTCAGAGATGGGCCACATCGCCCAGAGGGGACGGAGACGCGTTTAAAGAGTGTAACAACAGCCAGGGTTCGGTGTGGTGTCTTTGCAGGAGTTATCTGATGTTTAAAATGTGGGAGATGGTGGCGTTACCGAGAGCGAGCTCTCCCTTCCTGTCGTCTAGGACAAGATGGCAGCAATGCAGGCGAACTGTGCATGGTATGGATTTATAAGTCCATAACATGTTCACAGTAGCCTTGGATCTTACTTACAGTGACTCCATGTGAAGGTAAGCGTTCGCCTCCTGTCGACCGGTGTCCTTGTTAATTTGGCTAAAAAGCCTCATTACACGATGTTAGTTGAGACGTGACGTAATACAAAGTAAGAACTCGGCTTCAAACTTAGCTTTCAGCTCTATGAGGATTGAACAGTGGCTTGGTTTGTAAACAGAGACATCAACACATAGGTAATTGATGAATTGGTGGATTATCATTTATTTACTTTGGTTAGCACCGTTTAGCGGTGACGACGTTGGTAATTATTAATACAAGTGTCACTCTGGTGTTTGTTACTTAGGTAGGTGTTCTTTTCTCTCGAAGATACTCGATATGTCTTCACACAGTATCTCAAAAATAAAGCGGCCAAAATAGTCTGTGCTTAAAGAGTCTTTTTACAGTCACCCCAAAGTGTCAGCATATACAGTACAGTGCGACTCAGTGGCTGAAGTCATCGGCTCTTCTGTTATGGGCTGTATATGTTAGATAACACTGATTCCCCTACTGACTTAATGGAGTTGGCTTAATGCAGCAAAACTACGGGCGCATTCAGGGTAAACGTACTATTTTGAAATCAACAGTTAAAAAAAAAACATTTGTTGGGTAAAATTTTACAATCAGTATTTTCGAGTACAACTCTTCTGTGAGTACTTACGTGTACCTTTGTACTCTCTGTAACGCTCTCTGAGCGTTTTATAGAACAGTACATATCTCACTTGTTGGACGAACTGTAGTAACCCCAAATGTCAGCCTGTGTAAACATTTGATCTGGGTTCTCGGATCTGGACAAAACCAAAACAATATATCACTGATAATAATTTTAGTACCGTTTGACACAGTTGTTAGTAAAGTCACACGCAGTTCAATACCTTCTGCTTCTGTGCCCGTGCGTGGGTTTTTTCCCAATACATCGGTTTTCTCCCCCAGCAACATGCATGATTAGGTTAATTGTTCATTTATTTACATACACAGCTGTGAGTGTAAACTGTCTGTCTCTATATGTTGTCGCATGGAGGACTGACTGTCCAAAATGTATCTCATTCTCACGCTGTATTTGCTGGGATTGGCTCCAGCTCAATCCCGGAAAGGATTAAGTAGTAGAAGATGAATGACCCGACACTTAGCAAAGCTTTTTGAGGTAACATAGTATCAAAAACAGATTTTTTTATGTACAGCATAAATAAGATAGTATCTCTAATGTAAGACATTTGTTATTTAAACATAGTTGAATCAATAATCTTGAGTCATCAAGATGTGAACTTAAAAATAACACAGACATCCTGGGAATGTGTTGGTCTGAACCTCCCATATGTTATCATCAAATGAGTGCGGGAATTTGACGCGTTAGCAGTGTGCATTTTCTGTGACCCCTCAACAGAGTTATTGTAATTCTTGTGAAATCTAAAACTTGTTTGTATTTTTCTTTACATATAGAGCTAGCCATGCCTTGACAGTGTTGGTTAGGATTCTTGCAAAACCACTGTGTAAAGTTATAGAGGTGCTGGGGTCTTTCAAGATTTGGGTGCCAATAAGTGCAGTACATCCTAAAGTTGTTTCAGATGTTTAGGTTTACTGCATCTCAACGGTTACAACTGAAAATTGAATAGGGTGGCAATTTAATCCATTCTCGAAAGAGAAATATGAAATAGTCGATATATCTGTGGTTTAAGTTATTCTGTTAATATTTTGATGGACAGCATGGTTGATGCAGCAGATCTGCGCATGTGATGATAGCTTTGCCAAAGCTATCGCATGAGAGTCCTGGAAGTATTTGTGTTTAGCGCATGTGATGATAGCTTTGGCAAAGTATAACTTTGCCAAAGCTATCACATGAGAGTCCTGGAAGTATTTGTGTTTAACAGGAAATAGCAGGAACATTAATCAACTGTTTGCTAATTTACATTTCTTGGAAATTTTATAAGTGAAACCAAGTCACATGTCTAATCATCAGTGTCTTTGTAAACAAAAGGACTTCCTGTTTGGTTTCTATGGCTGGTGTTGTGTTTATAAATTGACTGTTTGCGTGCAACGCATCATGCTTTGTTAAAACAACACCCAAAAAACCAAGTAGTTGATCTGTTTCTTTTTTGTTTTTAATATTTTGCAATTTAATTTAGTTTACTTCCATTCCTTGTCTTTTCCTTGTCTAATTTGCTTCTTATATTTAACGCCTATTAAATACACAAAAGTGTGCATCTAAAACTGGTTACAATGTCAATGTAATCATAGCATATGTAGATACAGTATAACTAACATTAGTGTTAAATGGAAGGGACAGGGTTAATAGTTAAGCTCCACTGTGAGCAGTCGGACATTACCAACAGCCATGAGAAAAACAGAAGTAACCCAGGCAATATAGTGAGCAGTACCTGTCAATTATTAGACAGAAAGCCATTACTCCGACTTCCTGTTTCATCAGAAACCCATGTCTGTAAAATGGTTAAACTAGAAAGTCAAAGCTTAAGACCGACAGTGGAAAAACATGTGCTCTATAATTGCAGTGTTTGTTAAAGTACAAGGGTTTAACCACTTATAAAGTGGAACAGTTGAGTATTTAAAAATAAAGAGAAAATGGTCAATTTTATTTTCTGTAGAACTCCTATTTTCACTTTTTATTTGATTTGTAAATCAACAGCAACATCTCTGCTATCGATAAACTTCAAATTCAACCATGGATTAGGAAATACTTATAATTATAGTGTCCATTTTGCTTGGTCTTTGCTTGTATTTTTGGCAACGTAATGTAAATACGGGGCTGTAGCATGTGCGTGACACCCATTATTTGTTTTGTTTTCCATGAATGAAAAGGCCACTGACGCATGATTCTGTAAGAACGTCAGGACAGTAAAACCAAGATGTAGTTTTTCCCTCCACAGACTTAGTGTGTGTGTGTGTGTGTTCGTGCGTGCGTGGACTGTAGTGCAGTTTAACTAAGGTTGTGAAGGCAGCAGAGCTTGTGTATGCGTTGTCATGTGATGTCATGCCAGACAGATTTGCTCTAATTTGGCTAACTGGTCGTCTGTGTTGTGTTGTGACCAACTGAGGGACAATTAACCACGATGTCATCTGAGGAATGCCTCTGACTTCATGAGGCAGGGAGAAAACACAGAGCTTGTGAAACCTCAGGGTAACGTCCTGGTGAGAAGTTGTTGTGTGGCAGTTTCAATTAATCACTAAGAAAGAAAAATAGAAAGTTTTCATCAGATGTAAACTCTTGCTCCCATTACAGAGAGTTAAGTTTGAAGTTTGGAACTTTAGAGACAGAAAATGTAAAAAATAAACCCTCAAAATTCAGACAGGTGAGAGAATTAAGTTGCTTCTCATACCCTGTTCATTAAGCTGCTGATGCTTTTTTATATGTCTATTGGGGAGATGAATGAATATTTATGTTTAATGTATTGGTAGACTTATGGATCTGAAATACAAATTTGTTAATGCAATCGTTTTGAATGGAAAACAAATTAATTAAATGTTTTAAATGGCTGCGTATTTTTAGAAAATAAAACTTTTAATAGAATTCAGGATACTACCATATTCCACTGAAATAAAGCTTTAACAATACCCTGTCATTGTCAGAGAGAACAGGTGTGAGCGTAGATCAGGCAGAATGAATCTGCATATCGTATTACTGAATAAAGGAAAGCTGGTTCCTCAGTTTTTTTTTTACTGCCACCCACTCTGTTGTTTGCCACAATATATTTATTTACATTAGGGCTGTCAACCGATTAAAATATTTAATGATTAATCACTGGGTAGCTGTAGCTTGATTTAGATCATTAAAATTCCCAAAAATAACATTTAACTGTTTTTGCTGAAACAAAAAGACAAACAACAGCAGTTAGATATATTTGTTTGTGTTTGTGCCAAATTCAAATGATGAAATTGTAATGTCTGCAGATACATGCAAATGTAAGAGACAGGGTGTCTGACCTGAAGTTGCGCCCTCCCCAAACACATGCTGGATCATGAGATGGTATTTTAAGCTTGAACTATTTCCCGCAACGCATGCAAATAACTTTATCTTAGTGCAATGATAAGCAGATGGATGGTGGTGGTATTGTATTTATATCCAATGAACATCCTCCAATAAGTTTTGTTTTTGTTTTTAAAGAAAAAAACTTTGCAGGTTAGGGCTTATAATAGGAGCAATCTAATTTCATTAAAATACTGTGTATTACTGTAAACATTCATAGTTGCCTACAGGGTTGACTTAGGGAGGAAAAAAGGAAAAGGCAAACTCGTCTGAACTTTCACATATTCACATTCTGAGCGGCAGATGTTTTGATTAGCCCTGTCTTCGCTGTTTTTATTGGTAGCCTTTTGCTAAGAATGCTGAATGTTCAGGAGAGAAAATGCTTAAGAATTACTGCTGTTTTTCCCAAAGCGCCTGTTTACACCAGAAAACACTGACACTGTCCTTGAGTAGAAAGTAGAAATGAAGACCGCTGGAAAAACAATGAATGACCATTCCCCTCCTTGTATTTCCCCTCCTTGTATTTTTCCTTTGCTAGGATGTGATTCACCACAGTCTTGTCACATGACCAATTTCCCAGAACAAGAACTTCAGCTGCCATAGTAGAACAGCAACTACTAATGGCTGTTACTCTCAGTCTCAGTTAATATCATATACCATACAACAGTAGTTTATAGAGGAAGCAAACGTTTTAGGAAGTGACATTTTTATTTTTAGGTTCATTAATCCCGCAAAAATATTTACGTTTAAGTGAGAAATCTAAGGATAAAAAAACATTTCTGAGTGGCATAATTTTGTTAATGTTTACTACAAGCTTCCTTGTCAAGATTCCAATATAATATGCAAGGAACTAATGGCTTGGAAGATTTAGTACAGCTGTTGGAGATTGTAATAAAAACTGACGTCTTTGGAAGGTTTTCTTGATGCTTAAGAGATTGTAGATAAATTAAGGTGAATTAACCTTGCTTGATTTTAAAAGGCGTTTTAATTTAGTATTATTTTGTGTGGAGTGTTAAACTGTGAGATGAACAAGAGTTACCACTGCTTTTAGTTTAATGAGTAACAGCAGAAAGCAACAAGGGGCTGATGAAGTGTTCTTTGTTGAAACTGAACAGTAATCAAGAAGATGTAGTAACCCAGGGAAACTAGTAAAGATTTCATACAACTTAATGTTGACAAAGAATAATTAAAAGATGATTTTTTTTTCAATCACTATATTTGAGGTTTTCCTGATTGAATACATTGTGTTTATTTATTTTGTACAATGTTTACTGTCAATGAAATCAAGTACAAATCAAGTTACACAAGTCTACAGCCTATAGCTGTGGTCAGACATTTAAAAAATAAAAGTAAAATAAAAACGCATGCTTTTTCGTGTTTAGTGTGACCAAGTTCATCCCATTTTGCATATAGTTTATTTGATATTGATAATTTTGAAAATGGTGGGAGCAGAAAAAGTAGTGTTATATCAATTATTTCATATTGATATGGTGTGAAACAATATGGTAATCATTTGTTTCAAATTTGCTTAAAATTGGAATATTATATTTGTAATAAATAATTTCAGTTGGCACCATGACGTACACAAGGTGTTAAACTAATGATTAAGTAACAAACATCGCTGATTAGCCGTGGCAGTGTAGACATTATGCAGTCTGAAGTAATGCCCGACTGCTTTAAACAGACTAGGCCGAAAGTAGGCCAGAGGACATCTTGTAAAACCAACACAGTGCTTTAAATAAACTATTAAAGCATGCTATGTTTGCACAGCAAGTGCATTATGTGTTCCTGCTCAGATCTTAACATGAGTGTAAACCTATTAACTGAAGACATGTACTTGACTTGGTTCGGTAGGAGTGAATTTGTCTGGTTTCTCTCGGAAGCTATTCTAATTTTACAGAGTTACGGCATTTGCCAGATGTGAAACACAAACGAATAAGAGGAAGACGATGTTAATGTTGCAGTGGGCCATGGAAGATAAATGAAAATATGATAAAAACAGAATAAGAACAGACACCTTTTTTTGGCTTGTGGCCCCATTCCCACAGAAACTTTTTTGTTTTTTTGAGTCATGTGATCTCAGTCGTCTCAAAGATGTGCAAGCTCAGATATTTTTATGTGCTGCATTTTATTTGAACTTGATATATATATATATTCATGACACACAGAATGCAGTTGTTTAAGATTTTATTTTAAAAAGAATAACAATTAGTTGACAAAATATTTATTATCAGTAATTTATAAAAAAAATTACTAGATATTTCAGGTGAACCTTGGTCATCCACCAGGAAGCAAAAGACCAACGTTCCCCTCCTCCCTTCACGCACACTCACCCAGCATATACATTACACAGTCCTCATGTGTGTCCCTCACACACATGTTTAAACACAAACAAACCAGATTGCCATTCATGTTGAAAATATTTTTAATGTATGATGAAAACAATGACCAAAATATTGTCATTAACATCAAATTGTCTTTAATCTTAATGTTAATAAACACTTACAAAGTGTGATGATGAAACACGTGTTGAAAAACCACTGTCATAGTACATTGGTTAGATTGGTTTGTAGATAGTTGACCTTTGTAACTCACATGTTCTAGAGTTAAAGTTTAACCAAAAACATCTTTATAGTTTCTTGTAGAATCATTGACTTTTGTAACTTGTCTTAGTTGCTAACAGGCTAAGTTGAGAGTAAGTGATGTAGATGTCACCAACTGTTTGTCCAGACACCTACCACCAGTCTTTTACTGGTCTGTGGGTCACTCCGTAACCATTTGCTCACGGTTGACAGGTGCGTGGCGTTTATTTTCTCCTCAGTTTAGGAATGGGTAGCCACAGGTCAAAAGTTCAACTGCGTGGCAATTACTTAGTAGCTCAGGGTTTCTGAAAAGGTTCTGCAGCTTTGAAGGATGTAATGCTACACCACAGGAGGAGCCTCACGTCTGACCGAGGGAAGATTTGACTCCAGATAATAATAATAATAGCAGCGGCAGCCATTCTTTGGCTTAGAAACAGCAGTATGCAGCTACCTTATAAAAAAAACCCTGATATTAATTTACTCATAATTGTATTCCAGTGAAGAGTAGTTACTTATAGTTCAAATGTTTTCAAATTATTGTATTATTTAATGAAGTTGTAGCAGTCCGAGTTGTATATATCTGAATTCCATTATGTTTACTTTTGTACTTTTGTTTACGTTTGGATTGTTTTTACAGGATAAACTGATATTCACTAACAGTTTAACCTAAACTTCCCGGATTACAGAATTTAACCCTTTCCTAGGATGGTGAATGCATCACTGGCTTTTTCTTGGCCATGATTTGTTAAGTTAGCTGATCTGGGGGCACGGACTGCTTCCTGCTCTGTGTATTTTGCAAGAAGGTAGCAAATTCCAGTAAAACTTGGCTTTAGACTGCATGGAATCTATTTGTGAGCTGGTTGTAACCCAGCCGCAGCTAGTTAGAGACCTCTGGTCACACGAGGCAGCCAGATGTCAAAGTCAGGACGCCATAACTTCTGAGATTGTTAGTCATTCTTACCCTTTGTTTTTGGATGTTTACTTGTTCTGTTATCCTGAAAAACCAGGGCAGCTCTTGTATTTCCTCTCAGTGGTGACCGATGAATCAGTTATCGGCTTTCGGTGAAAGCACATTTTTGATAACAGGTTTCTTGGCATTCATGTGTGAGAAGCAAACATTTTAAATAATTGTGACAATATTCAGCATGAAGTGACTAGGCCATAGATGAAACAAACAACAAAAAGTGTGCGACAGAGGTCACTGGTATTTAAGAGCTTAATTTAGGACTTGACCACAAGTGGACACAAAGAGCCAGTAAACAATCATAAAGTTAATAGAAACTCTAACCTTTTGTCAGCTGCATTTGGATTAAAATCATGTTACAAAGTTCAAAGAGTCATAGCTCAAAACAAGCGTACTAAGAAGTTTGGTAGCCCAAGTTAACTGTACTTAATCAGACCTGTCTAGTTTGCAGGACAAAGGTTATTATTTTTTTAAGGTCCACAATCATTAACCAGCTGATATTTAATTATATACAATTCTGCCCGATAGACTTTCATTTCATTCTTAATCTAATTTTTTTTACTCTTGAAATAAAGACTTGTCCACACATGTCCACCTGTAGGACTTGATTTAAGGGCAGCACAGTTTGATCGATTTGAAGTTTGACATAAAATGTTATTCTCTCCAATGCATATCTTATTGTTGTTTTTAAAACAAATCAGCAGGTGATATATTAACATAATGGAGAGTTAAATAAACTTATTAACAGTTGAAGTCTGCGTCAACTGCACAGTAACAATGTAGGAAGAGCAGGAGGAGGAGGAGAATGGGTGTTTGACATTATCTCAGTGCTGAGAATAGAATAGAGAGGCAGACCACCATCACTAGTGTTATCACTAAATAGGTGTATTTTCCCTCAGGAATGTTTATTTTAAGAATCTCCACAGAAGCAGTGACTTACCCAACAAAGCCCACTGGTGACATCTGACACTTGATGTCAAACAGTGACTGTTTTTTTGTTGTTGCCTTAATTCATACACAGAGTTCATTTTATTTTTACGTTTAACAAAAAAAAGTTTAAATACAATTTAATGTAGGAAATTAAGGTTAGGACCCAATGTTGTTGACTGAGCCTGTGTCATTGGTTAACAGAATTGATTGAGTAATTATTAAATATACAACATTAAGGTTTTTTCTATATTAATATGATTTTGAAGAACAATTACAGTAAGTGTAATTGTAATCAGTGAATTTGTTATTGTTATTAGAATGTTCAAGCAAAGGATGCGCCTCAAAGAAACTCATTTGGATAATATTCTATTATCCAAATGAGATGAAGTGACCTCTAAGCTGCACACACATAGTACTACAGCTCAGACCATGTGTCTTCAGTGATGCTAAATCTTGTTCCAATGACTTGTTTAGGACTTGTTTAGAGCTTGTAAGCAATATGACATGATTTATTTTGTTCCATATCACTGTCCGTCAAGCGAGACTCCACAAAGAGCCAGTGGAGGGCAAATGTATGTCCATGTGTATTTGTGATTACACAATAGGTGTGTAAGAAAATGTTGATACACCGATTTTTACAAACGTCGACTCCAATGTTAGTAACTTTGACTATGCTGACAGTTTTCCTACAATCAAATTGCTCAAAAAACCCTCAATACATCCTCATGCTTATATTATCGCAGTATATTACAATATATCACATAGTTGCCCCCGTATCGTGATACGTATGGTATTGCCAGATTCTTGTTCAGTAAAACTAATTGTTTTCTTTTCTGTTTTATCTACAGGTATGGCCTCACAAGTCTTGGTCTACCCACCACACATTTATCATACCCAGACAAGTGCCTTTTGCAGTGTGAAGAAACTTAAAGTTGAGCCCAGCAGCTGTGTGTACCATGAGAGGGCATACCCGCAGACTTATCTGAACAGCAGAACCCTTGGCATTGTGCACCCAACGAAACAAACCCACTCGTTTGTGAACCAAGACTTTGCAGTGGGTGTAAAAGTACGTGGAGGGCGAGAGTTCCCTGTGCAGACGGTGGTTGTACGTGGCGTTCAAAGACAGCAGCCCAGTAAAAGAGGAAGAGGCAGAGGAGGAGGAGGAGCGGGCCCAGGCCCAGTTGCGGTCGAGCACCGACTGGCCACAGGTGGTTTCCACTTGCAGGTCAAGGAGGAGCCGCGGCCGACAGACGCAGCAAGAGGGGGCAGCAGTGGAGCATCAGGGGCAGGAGGAGGGGGAAGGGGAGAGGGCTGCAGTGGAGGAGGTCCGGAAGTTGGGGAAGAGGAGAGCGACAGAGAAGAGAACGGTGGAGCTTTGAACTCAGCTGACAGCTCTCTGCGATGTGGGCTGAAACGTAAAAGTGAGGAACTGGATAATCGAGGGAGCACCATGCAGATTGTGGAGGAACTGACAATGTTACCTGCCATGTTGCAAACTACGAATGTGGGAAACGCAGCAGTGACTGCGCCCGCTGCTGTGGGGGCTGGAGGGGTTCCCTCAAAACAAGGTGCAGGCCCTGGGGGTGTAGGTGCAGCAGGAGGAGGGGATGGGGACTATCAGGTTGTACAGCATGAAGTCCTGTGTTCCATAAAGAATACTTATGAAGTGTTGGATTTTTTGGGACGCGGCACATTTGGCCAGGTTGTAAAATGCTGGAAAAGGGGCACAGGGGAGGTTGTGGCTGTGAAGATCCTGAAAAACCATCCTTCATATGCACGACAGGGTCAAATAGAAGTCGGCATCCTTGCTCGTCTGAGTGGGGAGAATGCAGATGAGCACAACCTGGTGCGAGCCTTTGAATGCTTCCAGCACCGCAGTCACACCTGCTTGGTTTTCGAGATGCTCGAGCAGAACTTGTATGATTTCCTGAAACAGAATAAGTTCAGCCCTTTGTCCCTGAAAGTGATCAGACCTGTGTTGCAGCAGGTGGCTACAGCTCTTAAAAAACTGAAGAGCATGGGTCTCATACATGCAGACCTCAAACCGGAGAACATAATGCTGGTGGACCCAGTGAGGCAACCCTACAGGGTGAAGGTGATAGATTTTGGATCTGCCAGCCACGTGTCCAAAGCAGTGTGCTCCACTTACCTCCAGTCTCGGTACTATAGGTAAGTACTAAAGAAGAATAATGTCTGTTTATTTTTTATCAGGGCCATTTTACGTTCAGTGCATTTAAAACTGATCTACTTTGAATTTAGTAGCTCAATGTATGTCTCTGTTTTACAGTTATCGTTGTGGTGAATAACATGTCAAATATAACTTGACTGAATGTTTAAACATATACAATGTAACTGCATCAGAAGGCCTTTCAGAAATTCACCGTATCTCACAGAGGAAGAGATACATCTGATAAGTAGTGGTGGTTTCCTCTTGTGTCTAATGTGAAATGAAATCTGCCAAAAGGGTTTAAAAAAAAAGAAAAAAAAATGGAAACAGCTGGTGTTCAAGGGCTATATATTTGCCCCTTGATGACCAACTGCTTTGTACTCACTCTGTGCAGTTTCTTTGCTGTGACAATCTGTTTTAATGACGTAACAACTTTTTTGGTCCGAAGGACATTTTTTCCCTTTTCTTAAACCCTCTCAGCCGAAGCTAACCACAGATTATAATTTATATATTATTATTGACTGTAAACATACTAGAAAAACTTTCTGTCCCCTTCTGTGTTGTCAGTGTTTGGATGGCGTTGCTTAGGCTGACGGTGAACAGTTACTTAAAATAGCTACAGGGAGACTGGCCAGATTTCTCTGACTTCTATAGATGGTGAAGCAAATAGACAGGCAGAATGAAATACTAGAGTGCTAACACTCAGTCAAGGTCAACCAGCTCTCATGTCAGCTGTTTTCATTTCATATGGGGGTTGCATGTATTTGATGTGTATATTGAGGATGCATAAACTAACCAATGCAATTCAGCTACAGACCCAAAAACCTAGAGGGCTCAGTCACTTTGATAAGTGATTCCCCGCAAGTAGAGGTTTGGATGAAATAGGTTAAATCCAACTAAATGTAGAGTGGATTTCTGAAAAGGTTGCAGTTTTGATGACAAGTTGTGAGTTTTGTAAAGTTTGATCCTTTAAGGAAGCAAAGTAGGATAGACGGTGAACCATCCTTTTGTGTCCGGCAGATGGTGATATCCAAGTGGGAAATCAGAACAGGAACCACAGTCATTATCGAGGGTTTTACAATCATAGATGCTTTGGTAAAATTGTGTAAACATTTTACAACTATGCTGTTCCCAATGTTAGATTTAAAAGACATTATCCATATAATCCAAGTTCAAATCCATCCATTTTCATCCGCTTATCCGTTACCGGGTCGCGGGGGCAGCAGTTGCCACCCAAATCACATTGCACCGTACCAACCCCCCTAAGCCTTCCTGCGGGTGGTGAGTCCACTGGAAGGTACCTAACTGGGATTCAAACTTGCCCGGGAGGAGAACCCTGGGGTTCCACACCAATGACAGAGACATTACCTCTGAGCCAAAGTGCCACAGTCCAAATCCTCTAATTTTAATAATCAAACATTGGACCTAAAATTTGTAGATAAGAACCTCAGTGTTGTAGTTATTGAACAAGCATTATAAACATAAGTTGTTTTTGTGTGCTCATTTTTAAGTAGAACTAACTTTCGCCCAGCATATCGTTCCTATTTCTGCTTGTTGCGGACTGAAGTTCCCAAGTTTAAAAGCCACAGTGAGTAGCAACACTGGACTGAGTGGTTTATATCTCCAAAAAGTGTGTACTGCTTGCTATCTTTATCTTTATCCTGAGGTCCAGACAAGTCCGAGTGCAAGTGCTACCTTTGTGTTGCACTGAATAATGCACGATGCTCTGTGAATGTGTGGAATTATGTTTCCTGGAAGAGGTGTACAGTTGGGCTGTATTCAGTCACCGTGTTGTCAGCCGTGATGACTGAGCTCAAAACAACTGCGGTGTAGTCCAGTGTGGGTGTATTTACCAGTAGCAGCTAAATGAGAGACCTTTGTAGCCTTCGACTACTAAAAGCTAAATGAGAGACCTTTGTAGCCTTCTTTTTTTTTAAACAAAAGACCTAGGAAACTATGAGCATTTGTTGTACGTTAACCATGCAACAATGAATCTGCCAGAAACCGTGATGATTGTACGAATGATTCTGCGAATCACACAATAACCTAAAACTGAAATCACTATTTAGATGTTGGAGCTTAAACAAAGAAGGAAATAGAAGTTTCTGCCTGAAGGGTGGGTTGTGCACTGAACCTGCACCACTGCTGTGTCATTGGCGGTGACTAGTAATGTGATGCGTACATTGACTATTAATAAGAACAGGTGTGTTTTGGAGCAGTAAAAGTAAAAGCTTTGAGCTAGTGTTATTTTCTTTCCTGGTAGATTAGATAGGAGGGGTTCAGGGAATTATTTAGGCAAACATGGTTCAGAGACAGAGCAATAAAGACTGTAACAAAGATTTTTTTTCCTAATGTTTCTGAGCCTTTTTTCAACTTCCTCTTGCTGTTTTAATACCGGCACTGTTACTTCTTTTTAGGTGAGATAAAAATAGAATGTAAATTAGAAAAAAAACTTGTGTGACCTATATTAGTATATAAAAGGGACACTAAATTTAACAAAAACATATTTATCTTATCAACACCTGAGAATGTCAACCTCTTTTATCAGTAGGATAAAGATATTGTATCTGTTCAGAGTGCAATGTGGAGTAACAGCATGTGTGGCCTTTATATGCACAAGCATTACTATAGCAACGCTACAACAATGATGGGGACTAAATGTAATTCTGCTTTTTTAGCCAAATTCTAACAAGGTTTGTAAAACCTCAAATTTTGCCTTTCAAAATTTCAACCTCTGTCATATTCCACTTGCAATGTTAAGCAAAGCAACAAAGAATTGAATTTTCCTTTGTTAGTCATTGCCTTTCCACAAAGTATTGCAGCTCCAGTTTGAGTGAGTTATATTTGTCACTGATGTGTTAATAAAGACAAGCCTGCAGTCACTGCAGCCAAATCCATAATAATCCATTCTCATTAATGAACATTATTACCAAAGTTTGATTGTGCATGGATGATTGTGTTTTATATTCCCAGACATTTATCTTGACCTTAACAGCTAATGTATGGCTCTTTTTTACAAATTTTATTCAAAGTCTTGAATCTGAATATGCTAAGTGATACTAAGGGAAAGTACCCTGTCCACCATTGATGGAAACATTTGATTTACTTTTATTAACATTTCTTAATATTGTGCTATCAGTAATTTTTTAATTCTTAAATGTGCTTATATCAAATTGCCATAGTAGATGGACCAGTGTACTGTATGATACATTTGAAGTATTAGGTTTAATTAAAGAGTACACATGCATGTGACAAAGTTAAAGTCATCCTCTTCCTTTTGTTACGACTGTCTGCTTGCTGTGGAGGTCTTGCATGTGTCGCATGTCAGCCGTCTAGCATTTGTCAGTCCCTCACCTCATACGTCATATCCTAAGAATGGAAAATAGATTTGGTTTCACAGAAGGACGAAGAAGCTTAAGGTACGTTGACGAGGACAGAGCTTTGCAACTATGGCAACCATCCCCCTCTTAGACCAGTGGCAAGAGATTGGTGCTTTATGTTTGTCTGTCTTCATGCTAGTGTGTAATATTACATGTTGCAACACTACTGTAACTTTAGCAGGCCTCTAAGCATGAAGTATGTCATTGCATAGGTCTATCCATAGGATGGCTGTCATCGTATCTCTCCATTGGACTGGTAACATGATGAATTTAGAGCTGTGTTGATGTGGGACGGATTGAAACCTATTCTATATAAATAGTAGGCTAAAGTGTTTAACATAAGTAGCCTCTGCCATCCTTCTATGCTATATTGGCCTATGCATCAGCTGTTGTATGCATTTGTTTTTAACATGAGATCAAACCATCTGAAACTTATTTTGGTAGGTCTTGGCCTGGCTGTTGCCATCTGTATGTTTCTTCTGGACCATATGGTGTCACAGAGTAAATGTTTGATGGACCGTTCTATGTCAAGTATTTCCTGTAGAGATGCCTTTGTAGTTATATGACCTACTTTGAGGCTTAGACTCTGAGTCCGTTGGCTACTTATAGATCGTCTAATCATATTATTAATGTGAAAAATAAAAGATTGTCTAACAGGTTTTTGCTTGTCAGTTTAGAAATATGAGACCTGTCAACAATAAAAACAGAATAGCAACCATTTAGAAGTTTTGTGTTAGCTTTGTTTGGATTGACCCAACTTTTTGAGTTGAAATTTTGACTTCTGGCTAACTCATATATTGTTACCTTGATTTTATCTGAAAATTCCATCTTTGTGGACTTATATTTATTTAACACTAGCTCATAACCTGCTTTTTGGTCTCATTAAGGACTGAAATCCAATATCTTTTATGTGCTATTCTAGTATTATGAAATAAGATTAAAGTGGTGCAAGATCTGAACCTTTGGCACAGCAGTGATAATCCAGACAGATTATCAGTCAATTTAGGTTAAAAAATGTCTGCTCTTATTTCAAAGTTGTAACACTTTTCAACACTAGCTAGAGATACAATAATAAAACCAGTCAAAGATTTTGGAGACGTTGCCTGAGACGTGTCTTAACTGGTTTGTCTTAGGACTGTCAAACGGTTAATCACAGGGTAGCTGATTTTTTTTTTGTCTGTTGGTTGATGTATGTGTTTCACATGTTTTTATTTGTGACTAATCCAAATGATGGAAATAACAATATGGTGAAACCTTAGAACTAACGTTTATGCCACAGCTTGTCAAAACTGGGATGTTTAATAAAGAAATGGGGGGAAAAAAGCCAGAAACATTCATGCCTTTATTTTGAATGTTGTTTGTCTTAAATATACTCTAAAATTTTACCTTGTGTGTGTTTGTCCTGCAGGGCTCCAGAGATTATTTTGGGATTGCCATTTTGTGAAGCCATAGACATGTGGTCCCTAGGCTGTGTGATAGCTGAACTCTTTCTTGGCTGGCCTCTTTACCCCGGGGCTCTGGAGTATGACCAGGTAAACAACCTTCCCAACTCTTACCTTAGAGCTGCCTTTTTTTGGGAGGCATATCCTTCTACACACCATCTCTGTTTGGTTTAGTGTAACTTTCCCATCCACCACTCAGTTTCTCCTCTTTATCATCTCTTAATTTTTTCTGACACATTTTTACACATGGTTTTTACTCTCTTAGTTATATGAGATTTATTTGCCCTGTGTTCCTGCTTACATCCCATCACCTCATCCCCCATAACCTGCTTTGTGCAGGCCTTAGGAATGCCAAGGCAGCCTTAGACACGCTGAGTTACTTTCCACCCTTTTCCCCCCATTCTATTTTTTCGTCCTTCCCATTTTTTTCTTTTTGTAGTTGTAGCAATACACTGAGATGAGGGTTCATTGTGTTAGTTTTGGAGTTCAATCCAGGCAATCCAACTTTCTAATATTGTCCCTCTTTGAGGTTAGTGAGTCAGACAAGATGCAGGAATTGTAATTTGTGGAAACTTTGGTCAACGATTCCCAAATGGAAATGTTGCAAATAGTCTGCTAAAAATGCAGGCTTTCAAAGGTTTGAAAAAATAAAATGAAGAAACGATAGTGAAATTCAGGCGAGACAGTCAAACACTCCAGGACAACGGTATAACAGCATGTCCAGTTTGAAATACTGCCCACCAAGAAAATGTTGAAGGTTCAGGATGGAATTACACGATTCTGATTACATTAAGAGGTTGATTGAATGTATACAAAACTCTATTGACTATTGGTCATAGTTACAGTTCTCAAAAAAAGTCAAAAGTCAACTTTTAACAGGGGTTTGTTTTAAGAAATTCCAAAGAGATCAACAAAGTAGAGATCCATAATTCATGATGGATCAGTGATGACTTGTACAAAGCACTTCAACAGAAGCGAAAGTCTGTATGTTTAATGTGATAATATATCTACTTTACAAAAATCTACCAGAGGAACCATAGTTAGACCAAACACTGGGCTTTGCAGTAGCCTACTATTGAGAACCCACACAGCTGCGCTCAAGGTATTTTTATGAACTGGCGTCATTTTTCATTCTCAATGCTGAGACATCAGAGATAAGTCAACACTTCTGAAAGTGATTTGACTTGAGCTCCACGGCACCGGTCAAATATGATGGATTTGTTTTTGTGGCAGTCAGCACGTCCCAGTGGAGCTGTAAAGATATCTGGGGGAGCCTCTTCTGTCCATGTCCAATGAAAGTGTTAGGGTTCAGAAGTGCAGAAGTGATAGAGTTTCACCATAAATGCACCATGTAAACAATGACAAAGGAGGCAAGCTCCCGTAATGTATTAAGACCTTAAGGTAGCGATTTTGCTTGTTAACTTCAGAGATTGTCACATCGCCTTGGATAATCTGCTTCACAGATAATAAACTAATGTGTTTACCCAAGGCTATTGGTCAGAGGGGGCTCTTTTATCATTTGTTTTTCAGAAATCTGAATGGCTTAATAATTCAGAAAAAAACTCATTACACATTGCCAAAAATTGACAAGCACTAAGCATGTGGATGGACCAGGTCTGGCTCACATATATTTGGATGTATTTCTTCCTAGTTTTGTATTGTAATGCAACTCAGTGTGTGCTGGAAATCACTGCCTCAAATGTCACAGCTTTCAGCCTAGTTCTTTAGTACCTTCTGTGAATATCATAATGAATGAATACCAGCATTTGCAAATTTTCAAATTTATTTTTAATATGGTTTGAAAGTTTTCTGACTTGTCTCCAAATCCCAGGTTTGGTTCTATCAGGAAGAGAATTCAGTTCAAAAATATCCAAATGTGTCTACTATGTATCTAAGTCTGTGGCAGCCCCTGATGAAGGGACAGGCATAAAAGTGATTATGTCTGTCCATCTTCACTCACAGTCAAACACAGCCCTGTGGTTGAACAACCCATGTTTATGACAGTGGCAGATTACTAATGTCGAACCACTAATTTAAGGTGTCATCCAACGGCCAGAGCGTGATCTGGTTGGTGCTGACTGAGAACCCATCTTCTCCCTTTTCTTCTTATCTTTCTGCATGGGGTCTTGTTCCATCCCACACAGCATATTGTATTTATAACTCCGGCTCTTGCTCTGCCTTTGCATTACCTCATCCCCGAGTCACTTCATCCCTGTACTTAACTAGTACAGCTGAGGATTGCTCACCTCTTTGCTGTTTTAGTATTCTGACAGAGCATCAGTTACAACGGTATCCCCAGTTCTGCATATTTTCGTCTTGTTTAGTTCTCTCTCCTACACTGCATCTGTTGTGTGGATATTCAAAAAGTGAAACTATTCTTGGTTTCACCATAGACGTGCTACAGCTACCTACCTGGGCATTAGAGTATTAGCAGGAGGGAGTTGAGTTATTCTGTTCTCAGTGTTCCGGGTTTCATTTGTTAACAAGTTCCCACAGACAAATGTATCATTGCGTCTAAGTTTGTGTACATCTAGACCTGGTTGACTATAAAATACAAATATCTTTGTCTTCAATTTCCTCCTGTGCAGGCCCAAACTCGCTAAATGGTTGTTTTGTGCAGTGGTGGCTTTGCATAAGTGATTTTAACAATCTGCCAGATCTCTGCAGAGACACGCATTCTCAGGAAAAATAAGGGTTTTCCCATAACAACAATTTCCCCACCCACAAACCAGTCTTGTTTGTCATTTCATTTGTTTTTGCTTTGAGTTGCTATAGAATAGTAAAGAATGGCTATTAAATTCTTATGAATATGTCAAGGAGTTGCTTTTTAACTCTAAAGATCTTTTGCTTCTTACCAGCCCTGGATCTTTTGCGTTCAATGTCCTTTACACCTACGTGTGATTGACGTCAGTGAGACTTCTCGCTGCTCTCTCTCATAAACCTGTGTGTGACATTCTTGCCATACAGCATCAGACTGACAAGCATCATTACCAAGGAAACATTTTGGCATTGAGAGCATTGGAACATTGTTATCAGATGTAATACCAAAAGACCCTGACACTTTGTGGGAGTCGTAAACACGGGCAGTTCTCCGTGCAAGGTCTTCAGTCTCGCTGTTTGTCAGTAAGGTGACATGTTTAAGGTGCCTCCAGTCCCTACCACTGTGCACACCTTTATGACCGTCCTTGCTTGGTAACACATAGGGTCCCAGAAACCTAGATAGGAGATGTTACCTCAGAGAAGCATGTGTGAAAGCAGTCTGCTGGTATTGGTCAAATGAGAAATGGTAAAAAAACAACAACAACCTTTTAATGAAATTAATATTTATACTTGATGACTACCTTATCCCGTGGCTTTCATTTAATAAGCATGGACAGAAAAAAAAATTAGTCACATCTTATGGTCTTAAATCTCGTGAGCAGACCTTGATTCCTGCAGCAAGTACTTGGACCCAAATTTGGAAATCCCGTAGACTCATTTTTAAATTGTTTTCTCAATTCACAATGTTGTTTGTGCGCATTTTGCAAACTCAACTACATGATAAGATATATAATACATATATAATACAATTCTTTTATCTTAAGGCAAATTTTCTTTTTTTTTTCTCTTTTGTTTGCACAGATTCGCTATATTTCTCAGACGCAAGGCTCGCCAGGAGAACATTTACTGAACACGGGGACAAAGACGGCACGTTTTTTTTGCAGGGAGGCAGATTCTCCCTATGCATCATGGAGACTCAAGGTGAGCTTTGTTCTTGTTTGTTCTAAATAAACTAGGTCATGTAGACAGTAATTAAAATTAAATTACATCACATGGGATCTATTAATTGTTTTAATATCTTGGCTTGTTATCGGACTTCTTTTTTTTTTTTTTTTTTCTTCAGTCCACAGAGGAGCATGAGACGGAAACAGGAATGAAGTCAAAGGAAGCCAGGAAGTACATCTTCAGCTGCTTGGATGACATAGCGCACGTATGTTTCAGCAGCCTGCACCACAATCTTAATAATTTTACAGGAAGTTCAGTCAAACAGGATGTAGGTCAGTAGGTCTTTAGCGGGGGAAGTCTGTTAGAACAGACCTGTAATTACTGGGAAGAAAATCTGTGGCTGTAAATGCATTTCACCTTTGGTAAAATGCTAACTGAAAATGAGAAAACGGTTTCTGGTTTCACTGGTGTGGGGTGGAATCAGACCACGAGTGGAAATTCCCCAAGTCACCACCAAACTGATTCAGCCCTGTACTTTTTTTATTCAAGTGAATTTCCTGGATTTTCCGTACGAATGAGCCTTTAAAAGGTTTCACATAGCTTTCCACTTTAATGTTTTGCTCCTATAATTCACCGACAACTCATTCGCTCTACTATTACAGGGTTTTTTTGAAGTGTAACTTCCTAGAAACCTGCTTTCATCTTGCCCCAGAGTTTTTTTTTTTTCGTATTTCTTGGTCAAATTTCAGACACCACAGAAAGTTAGAAAAGCTTCAGCGTCATCAAACTTTACTTTGTAATTGCAAACCAAGCACTTTTGGGGAAAAATAGTCCCAGACCTACATATAAAATCTCAGCTAGAGCTTTACAAAACAAGTCTGATTGGCTCTAACATAATAACTGATGGGAATCACTGTGCAAAATTTGACACTTCACTCAATTCATTATTACTAAGTGTTTTTTTTTTTTGCGGAATATTAAGTGGAATTTGCATTGACTTCCAATGTGCTTAACTCATCAGGGTAGACATGACAGTATCTATGTCTATGATATTTACAGTACTAGATTTTTTTTTAAATTTTACTTTAGATGGTATCTGTAGTACATTTGTCACATGTCCATTTCGGTGGTAGAAGTGTGCTGCACACTGATAACCAGGGCCTCTGTAAGAGCGTTATAAACCTGTGTTGGCAAATACAGAATACACATACAGTATCGGAGAAGTTTCTGATATTTAACAGAGTAATTTCTGAATTTCAGGTGAACATGGTAATGAATCTGGAAGGTAGTGATTTGTTGGCCGAGAAGGCAGACCGTAGAGAGTTTGTGGGCCTGCTGAAGAAGATGCTGTTGATTGATGCGGAGGAGAGGATTGCACCTGCAGATGCTCTCAGCCACCCCTTTGTGACGATGCAGCACTTGCTCGACTTCCCACACAGTAACCAGTGAGTTGTCTCTACATTCATCCTCCTTACTGTAGTTCTTGTCATTCTTTTCACATCACATCATCATGTCTGTGTTTTTCCTCTGCCCACAGTGTGAAGTCATGTTTCCACATCATGGATGTGTGCTGGACTCGTCCCAATGCATATGAGGCGGCCAACAGAAATAAAGGCCCTTTTGTCAGACCTGTGACTGCAAACACCGCCTCCTCAGTTAACCATCCCTTTAGCAAGATGACTGGCGTCCATGCTCAAGTAAGTCATTCAGGAAATGTTAGCCTCATTATCTGTGATAATGCAAGAGTCTTACTTCACTTTAACAGACAGTTACTAAGACCGGAATGTGATTGAAGAGTTTAGCAAATGAACATTGAACAACATTTAACTAAAGCATAGCCATATATAACAGCATGCTGGTAGTTGTAACTATGCTAGCTGCTTTGTTAATAATTATGATCATGGTAAATGATGATCTGTACTTGTATAACACCTTTCAAGTTTTGACAGCCTCTGTACTTATATAACACCTTTCAAGTTTTGACAGCCTCTCAAAGCACTAAAAGTTTAGCCTTCTTGTTGGAGGTATAAAAACTACAAAGTCTGGCAATCGAACCATTTAGGCCCCAGGTGTAAGACAACTGCATTAGCCACTGAGTTACAGCCAACCACCAAGTAAATCAGTGGCAAAAGAAAGCATTATAAGGAAGAACAAAAGAACAGAAAATAAATGTGATAATAGTTACCAACAGATAATAATATCAGATAATAATAATCCAAAAAATTAGCAAAATAAAGCAGTAGTGTTCACATTTTAAAACATTTCCTAAATGCAACACAAGGATAATTGTTTAATTCCAAAATAGTCAGTTATAACCTTGTAGATCTGTTGACTAAAAACCATGCTAAAAGTCACAAGGTGCTGTACAGTTTAACAACAGATTTTTCTTACACTGTTAGAAATGTTCATGAATCATCAACAAACCTTTTAAAACCTTCCATAGAAAAGCACACAGTTTCCTCGTGTTTGTGTTTTCTGACTACTCGTCTTATTGCGTCTTCACACTGCTGTCATGGCAACAAAATCACGTCATGATTCTGAGGTCATGGCAACGGGTGTATATATCAGTGTTGTTGCTGGGTTGAGAACAGGAGGTGACCCTTTTTTTCAAGGAATCGATTTTATTATGCCAAAGAAATGCACGATCATGTGCATACGATATACACATCAGTCCATATGATAGCAGTATGGCTGACATCTGATCACAACACGAGATTCACATGATGAAGTGTGTTCACAATCAGCAGTGTAGCGAAGGAGTAAATCTAATTGGTTCAGGACTAGTACGCAATATTTTTTTTTCCCGTCTTGTTCTCTGAATTGTTGCTCTGTTTTTACTGCTCTGTGATATGGTGCCCTGGCCACAATCTGAAACCTTAGCAGAACAATAAAGGTCTAGTTCCCATTATTCAATAAATGTGATTATTGCCAGAGCTGGAGAGCACGAGTGATGAAACAGAGGCACATGCCTGCTTGTTCTTTGCTTTTGCCCCAGGCCTGTCTCAAAGAGTTCATTGTACATTGCTTTAGAACATTTTCCTGTGATTCAGTTTCCATAATAAACACCCCATTTGGGTGAGGCAAGATGAATTAATCTCACAGAGACCCTAATCTTCCATTGAACAGGTAGTGTTTGTTCTCCAAAGGTGTCCAGTCATAAGGTATTCTAAAAGTTATAGTGTTATACAGTGTTTTAATTTTTAGGCAGATTTAAAAAAAAACAATAAAAAAACTGGTTTTATTGCCACTAGTTTAAAAAAAACAATAAAAAACTGGTTTTATTGCCACTAGTTTGTGGTTTGTCGTTCTTGAGTAAACTAGTGTCTTTTGGATGAGTGATCTCTCTAAATTTAATAACTAATCCCTCTGTCTGTAGTCTCTCTGACTTGGCTGTTGCCATCTGCTGGCTCTTTGATGTAACTGTTCAAAATTTTTGAAAAAATTAAATTGAGTCCAGACTTGAAGAGTCATCACAATGGAAAATATATGTTATTGTATTATACTGTATTATACGCATCTGAGGCTCTTTCCTGCCATTTTGGGAATGACAAAAATGCAGTGAGGTCGAAACTGGACCGACTCATGTGACATGAGTCTGCAGACTTTCTTATTGGTTTATTTTTGTCTACAAATCCACTTCTGGGCTGCGCCCCAGAAGAAAGGCACTGCAGGCTGGCTGTATATGATGACACACGATGATACAAAACTACAAATGGTTCTGGTGCAGGAAGTGAAAGCCTTATCACTCAGAGAACACAATCTGAAAAGTGACTCACGTATGTGGGTTTATAATGCTGTGGAGATGCTTCACTGCATCCATAGATGGGGGTTTTGTAAGGATTGGAGGATGAAAACTCCACGCAGATAAGTTTCAAAGCTGCGGTGGCTATTTTAAATTAGCCGTCCACCAATATAGATGCAATTGCAATTGAACACAGTGGGAGAGTGAGTAAGTAAGGTAAAATTGAAATGATTTTGTTCTGTTTTTAGGGCTTGGCCCCATCTGCCCCCTCAGTGATGCACCCTGGGATAGCACTGCAAACAGGAGGTGGTCAGTTTGGATGCAGTGATTCATTTCAACAAGCACTCATTTTGTGTCCCACCTCCATTCAAGGTATTGTATACAGGTGTCTTTACCTCACAGTTATTTTGTGTATTGTACTGTATGCTGTTGATGGCTGTCCCAAAATGTACACACGTACATTTGGACTGAACATCCTTTAACTTACAGTTCCCTTAGAGCCTTAACCAGTATAGTGTCATTCATAAACTAACCCTGGGTCTTCTATTATCTTACCGTATCTTTACAGCTGCCAGAAAAGTACAGGTTGTAACTGTCCTAGAACGTTTGTCCATATTGATGTGACTCGGAAGGCTAGTACTTTAATTTGACTGGAACAATGTAGAATTTTAGATCTGGTCGCTCTAGACAATTCTGTTAGATTTTATTAAATAGAAAGTAGAAAATATTTTCCAGATGGATCTCCCTATTGATTAAAAATAAGTCAATATAGAATTTCTTACTTTATTTTTTTTTTATTTAAAAAAGTTTTTTTTGCCCTGTCCTTTTTAACTGTGTGATGAAAATACAGGGTTGAAGACATTTATAATCAAACCTTTGTTTACCTTTTCTCTGTAGGAATCCCTGCAAACACAACTAAACCATCGGGCTACTCTGTTCGTATGGACACCTCTGTGCCCCTGGTAACTCAAGCTCCTCCCATCCAGCCCATACAGATCAGACCAGGAGTCATCACACAAGTAAGGAATAAAACCAACAGGAGTCATTTATACAATGTTAATAATATTAATAAAATCTAAAGATATAAATAGAATGTAATTGCTGTTACCATCACCACCCAGGGGAAATGTAGTCATTGTTCTTCTCTGCTGCTCCTGTGACAGGCCTGGTCCAACCGTGCTCAGCAGATACTGGTGCCCACTTGGCAGCAGGTGACATCAGTGCCTCCTCCACAAACCACGTTGGCATCTGACACTGTGGCAGGCTCACAAAGATTAGGCGACTGGGGGTAAGTGGTTTGTTGACCTGTTTCCATGAGAGTTGCAGCAAAGTTTTCTTGACTTGACTAGACTTGTAACTCCTGTCATTTTCTATGGGTTAAAAAATCTAAAACCAACAACAAGTGCTTTATTTCTTTGTTGCTGCGCCACAGGGAAAAACTGTGCTCCTCTGATGCTGCGTACAGCTCGAGTGCCCTCCTGAATGTTAATGACAGATGACTCATACATGTCTTTTGGGGCTGGTGACTTAGACTGTCATTTTCCCTGTAATGTGCTGAAACCTTCTGGCTCAATTTGCGATGTTCTGTTTTTTTAATGCAGGAAAGTGCGTGCCCATGGCAACCATTACAACTCCATGATAGCACACCCTCAGCCGTTTTTAACCAACCAAATGACCATGTCCACCCACCAGCCCATCAATATAGGCATTGCACATGTGGTGTGGCCACAGCCGACTGCCAACAAGAGATCCAAGCATTGTGTGAACAGGTAGGACCCATGACTTAAGCAACAAAAAAACAATTTTACTGACTGATCCATAATGAGCCATTTTTAGTTGGGTATCTGCTGTGGACAGGAAATGATGTCACATGATCTGCAGTCACTGTTCAGAATCAAAAAGTTGTTCACATTTCCTTTTTCAGAGGCAGCAACTTCTCCCAAAACTCAAACATCCAAAATATAGCATGCCAATCCCCAAAGATGGCTGACACGGCAAAGAATGTGGTGGAAGTCGCAGAAGAAAAAGCCAAATGCCCGGAGGGAGAGCACGCTGTTGGAGAGGAGCGAAGAACAGAACAGGTTGAGGAGGAAGATGTGGAGAACTGCTGCAAGGTGAAGCCAGACTGCGCGGTGCTGTCAGTTTCCCAGGAGCAGCGGCAGGCCATGGTGGTTTCCGAGCTCACCAGCCCGACTGTTAGTGTCATTAGTATCAGCAGCGACGAGGAGGAGAGCACCCAGAGGCACTCGATGGAAGAGTCAGTACTCTCGGTTCTCTCAGATGATGTTTAGTCTTTGCTCAATCAACCACTTGGTCTTATTTGCCCACCTTGACTGTTTGCAGATGTAAAGGTAGTGCCGATTGTGAGGCCTGTCAAAGCACTGTCAGCATGGAAAGGGTCTGCTCACTCAGTAGTCCAGACAGCACACTCAGTACCAGCTCTTCAGCCTCAGCCCAGTCCAGCACCTCACCATGCAAGAACCCCAACAGGTGGGATTAATGCATCCATATCTGTTTATGTTCTTAATAATACTAATGCACTTTAAAAAGTATTTTCCCCATTCTTTGTGTTATTTTACTCTATGATCCCTTGCCGTCTTTTTCCGATGTTTCAGCTAACTTTTAGCTACCACTTATCTAAGTGTTTTCTGAGATGTATAATTTAATTTTCAACTCAAAAGCTTTTTATCCCTCATCCATAACTTTTAGATACCACCTATTTTTTTTATCTTGAAGGCATCTGTCCCTCGACCCCTCACCTTGTTCTGATCTTCCCCCCAACAGTATGTCGGATGACGAACAGGAGAGTGGTTGCGACACAGTTGAGAGCTCGCCCGCCTCAGACACCACTGGTCACGGCCACAGTCCCTTCATAGAGCAACGCTACATCGCTGACAACAACCAGAACTGTGAGCCTCGTGTCGCATGCGTAGCTCCAGAGACGGAGCCTGGGAAACCGACAGTTCGTACCGTTGTGGTTCCTCCGCTGAGGGTGCAGAACAACAACAACAACGCTGCTGTCACAGAAACCCCTGGGCACACAGGTACAACCTGACAAGTGACTCACACATGTTTAAAATGCTTAAATAAAAGTAAAAAAGAAGAAGACATTTGAATTTGGAGTTGGATTTGGGACAGTGACCATCAGCATTAGACCAAGGTTCCCATAAAGCAGGGGTGGGCAGTTGGGTCCACAAAGGGCAGCTGTGGCTGCAGGTTTCTGTTCTGACCAAACAGCAGCACACATGACTTATTTAATCAACTCAGTCTTCAGACAGTTGATTGGTCGGTCAGTGTGTTCTGGATAGGTTGATAGAAAAAAACCTACAGCCGCAGCCGCCCTTTGTGTCCAGGTCTGCCTTAAAGGGAACTTTCTCACTTGCTGTGTCTGAATTGCACACTGTTGGTATTATCCTCTCCTGCATGAGTAGGTCATGCCCAGTGAAAATCCAGTCACCACTGCTGCTGTCTGCTCCACAGGTCACATGGCCTGGGATTACCCAGTCTTAGTAGGCTACAGAGGTTCTCACAGGTGATTATGGCTGACCTGCCCTGATGTATCTGCTCTGATCTTTGGAGTGCTTATGTGTTTGCTGTCAACACTCTTTAAACTGGCTCCATGCTGACTCTGAGGATCTCTCTATCAGTGTGGTCACTCACAATTATTTATAAAGCTACATCACACCATGCATAACAGTGAATAAGAATAGAAAAAAAAGCTTTTGAGTTTTTTTCACATGAAATAAGTTTTATCTGGGAGGTATTTTTAAGATAATCATCAGCAAAACATTTGAGCTTACTTCTATACTAACCTTGTTTTAGCTAATCTTCAGTTACCTTATGGTTATATTAAGCCGTTTCGTCTCGTCTGCCTTTTGCTATTTATACATTAGTTATTCACGTGTAGACATTCATTTAGCTAATGATTAAATTATCTGTTGGCCAATTCGTACCTTTTTGACAAACATCTTCAGTGTTTTTCCTTTTCCGAGAAGATGTTTTAATCTTTGGCTTTATTTTAATTTGTAAATCTGAGCTATTTATTAATTTTTTGATCCAAATCCTATTTTTAGACAATTTTGTTTTGGTTTTACCCTTGGAACTAGTTGGAAATGTAATACTTTATGTCATACTTTTACTTTTCTTTTTTTTTTTTTAATATCAAAACTTCTGCTACTCTTTGCTTCAATAATCGCAACATTTATGTTTTATTGTAGCAGAAAATAGAAAACATGTTTGAATGTTTTCTTTTGTTGTGCAAGGTGAATGGAAGCTTTATATTGCAGCAACTTTTGAAAATTGCTGCTACTGACTGACCTTTTTATTTATTTCAAATGAGGGATACGAAACCTGAGTCACGTTACTTTTCGTTTGAAACACATCTTCCTTTCCATCCAAAAGTATTGCATCCTGGGCCTCGCATAAAAGGGCACAGGTTGCTATTCTCGCACGACCAGCTGTATTTATAGTCGGTGGCCTGACCACCAACTGTAAACCGGCCTCTCCAGTGTCCCACAAACTTTACTATTAATAATCTACCAGATCATATTCAGTGGACAGGTGCCACTTTGTTTAAAGGTGCAGACTCGATGACAAAGGCAGCTGAAATCATTGGCATTGAGCACATGTTGCTTTTTCTAGAATTTGTTGTATTCTCTGTCGTGTTGGCATTTTAATCATAAGTCTGATGAGTCAAACACCAGATCATCTTCATGTCTTCTCCATCTGTCCATGTTCCAACCCCGCACCATGTCCAACTTCAGTCATAGAGTCATCATGCCAGTCCAGAGGACGA